TAGACGTCGTCATCGTTCCGGCAAGGCCCCGGCGTCAGTGGGAATAAGGAGCAGAGGCTGGGGCGCCACCGCTGTCCCCAACCATCTTCTCCCAAGTGAAGGAGGCCTGCCTTCCTTCGCGTGGCTCAAATCTCCAACTTTTCATCAGGCAAAGAGTTCTGCAGGAATGATTCCAGGGCAGACGTTAAGGGAAAACTCTCTTTATTGAAATAACAATGCAAAGAGCAGGTTATTCACATATCCTATTGCAAATACCCCACCAGTCACTCAGAATTTACTGATTAGATAAACAGTGGTTAAATATACCAGGATAATGTTTAAATTAACAAGACTAAAATTTTTTTTAAAGACAGGAGTAAATATGACTGGTTCTTTCAAAGAATTGAAACATGCCCAAAGGGAACCACATTCTATTTTTATTATAGCTCACACACAGACTAACGTCTTTGCTTAGAAATATTACCTCTGTTCCCCCAGAAGTGAAGATGATGTCTTGAGGCTTTCCGCCTATCATCTTGGCCAGGTTTTCCCGAGCTCCATTTATAATGTCCTTGGCTTTTCTGCCTTGAGGAACAACGAGGAAATTGGTTAGCCTGGCTACCCCAAGCCCAAGAAGCACGTTTTCACAAAAGGAGCAGGCTCCGTGGAGTGCAAGATGACGATGGGCCGTTCGAAGATGAGGCACAGTCCACGGGCGAGAACATAACAAGGTGCTTCGCCCTAAAACCACTGGGCGAATGGGCAGCGGTGCGGTATTAGCAGTCAGCACAAACTACAGAGACTACGTGGCTTTGTGAGGACCAGAAACAGACAATTAATGTGGGCAGAGGTCCCGGGAATCTGAAAATTCCCTAAGACAATTTTCTTCTTACCAGATAAGAGAGGAGGGAGGAAGCTGTGGCCATCTGCCTTGCTTCCCAGTCATCATGACAGGAAATGAAAGATGGAATAATTTGCTTAAAAGCAGGCTGAAAAAAAACAATCAAAACAGGGAAGACTAGGACTCACGGCTCTTCTACACAGTGTCCAAGGCCGGTCATCTGAGTCTGGTCTCCGGCAAATCCCTGCTTCCCACTAGAGAAGAGGACTAGGCACCACTGTGCCCGAGGGGCAGAGAGAAAGAGAGCTGGGCTGTCCATCAGATGCGGGTGATCCCTCCGAGGCGGTAGACCAGTTCTCCACAAACTGTAGCGCCTTCATTATATTAAAAAAAAATGAGCAGAGAACCATTCGAGAGCTCTCTCTGTATACGTGAGAGGGGTTTTAAAAAACTCTATTATTAAAAGGTTCCATATCCTATCAACATTTTGAAGCCCTTCACACACGAGTGTGGGGTAGTCAAAAATGGAGATACATTTTTTAAATCACCCCCTTAATTCCAACTCATAGTGACCCTGTAGGACAGGGCTGCGCTGTCCCTGTGGGTTCCTGAAATTGTAACTCTTTATGGGAGTGGGAATTTTCATCTGGCTCGTGATTTTGAGCTACTGATCTTGTGGCTAGCAGCCCAATTATTGGATTATTGAATGCGGCTGTTGCAGCCAGTCTCTAACTCCCCGCCGCCCCCAATGACCTTTCCCTGCATGGGTCTGGAAGACCAAGAAGGCAGGGAAGATAGTGATAAGATTCACCTGTGAGTAGTGCAAATAGACTCGTCCTGCTGGGTATAAAATGAGCCCTCTGAGAAGCAGGAGGCGGGTTCACTGCCAGCAAGACGTAGGAGTGGTGTAGAGTGCTCTGGACCCAGGATCCCGGCACAGTGAGCCTCCTGGATCCAGAGGACCGCGAGACCGTCAGAGGAGTAGCAGCAGAACACGGAACAGTGATGGACCGACCATCCCATGGAGCAAGTAAAACTGAGGGTTTTGTGTAGGAGGCTGGCTGGCTGGCTGGAGTGGGTGCCTCTGGGCCCCGAATTGAGGAAGTTGGGTTGGCTGACCCATGGAGCTTAAGCTGAATCTCCCTGGGTTGAGGCTGACAGCAGAGTGGGGTGCCCATGGGGCGCTGATTAGCAGGCCTGAAATTTGGTCACAGGTCCTGGTAAACAACTCCCCTGGGCATTTCTCCGTGGCATGACTACTAGGTACTTCCTTAATCAACCCTTTAAACCAGGCGTCCTCAAACTACAGCCCGCGGGCCACATGCGGCCCGCTGAGGACATTTATCCTGCCCGCCGGTGTTTTTGCCCCGTTTTGTAAAGTGTGCATAGGAATTTGATCATAGTATTTTTTTTTTTAAACTATAGTCCGGCCCTCCAATGGGCCTGAGGGACAGTGAACTGGCTCGTTTAAAAGATGGTGAGTGCTGTACAGACCATTGCAATGGGTGTTAGAACCCAGAGAAGCAGCACAGAGAAGACTAAACTCGGGCAGTGTAGTAGCTCCTACACCAGCGCTCCTGAACAATAAATAGAGAAAGCCTCTGTAAACACGAGTATCAACATGGGAAGCTATCGCCTCTGGGCTTCTCCTCCATGCCGGTCTAGGCACTTCTGCAGGCACCCTCTCTCAGGCCCTCCCAGGACCCCGAGCTCCCCGGGGACACCGCGTCATCCCTGCAGTTCTGCCCCTCCCTGCAGGACTCACGCCTGTTCTTCTAAATGCGGAGTTCGGGGGCAGAGTGCAGTCTGAAGGGTAAGGTCAAGGCTGCACAGGAGACGGTGAAGGTTCCCCAGGGACGTTCTCCCAGGGCAGCCTGCTTCCCTCCCAGGCTGAGCAGCTGCTTGTCCCGATGGAAGGACAACATTCCGTGATACAACTTTCCTGGACTTTCTGTCATCGATGCAGTTTTACATTTTCTGAAAACTTCACGGTAAGGTCCCGTAAGGTCCAGTCATCATTCTGGGTCCTTTGGGACAATCTATCAAGATGACCCCTTTGGAACTCTAAAAACCTTCAGAGCTGACCTCTCTGCCTTGAACTGCTCTGGCCAGCAGCTCCCTCAGAAGCACTGTTTCAAGGGGACTTCTTTGAAGGACCACCACCAAGTGACTGGGTGGAGACACGCAAGCACGGCTGTGGCACTCACTCTCACATGGGGGTTGGTCAGTTTTGCCATTCCCTTGGCCGGGCGTGAAGTGATTCTAAGAGTCTGTGGCACAGGACCAGAGCTGAGACCAGGAGGCAGAGCAGCAGGCTGTCCGGCCCACAGAATGAGTAAAGCTGAGAGCCTTTAGGCAGGAGGCTGGGTGCAGAGTGGGGTGCCCTTTGGGCAATTATCAGTGAAAAAGTTGTTTTGTCACTCTTGCCCAAGCAGAGCAAAGGCCAAGGGTTACATGGTTGAGAGGCTAGGGACCAGAGAGAGGAAGCCCGTAGGCCTGCTGAGAAGAGGCACTGTGGACAAAAGAACTGTATCCTTAGCATTTCTAATCCCGATTTGTTGTAACCACCAGGTGGCTTCCCTAACACACCCTCTAACTGTGAGTTCCATGCATGGCCTGTCACACTCAGCAGAGATAGAGTGCTGCTGGGGGAGGCACGGCTGGTTATCAAGGCAGGGTCAAGAAGGTGGGTGAGGAGGAGGGAAAAACACCCAGAAACAACCTTTTGGTCGCTTTTTTCATTTACTTGTAGTTTTTATTTTCAAAAAGAACCTAAACCCACTTGGCATAAAAATGCAATCTCAGGGCAATTTGGACAGGGGCTTGGATATTAGATACCATTCCTGAGACCATGTTACATTTCCTAGGTTGGGCAAATGGCATTGTGTTTTGGGGGGCTCGTGTGTGGTCAGGGTCAGCATGAATCCCTGGAATTGGAGCCAGCCTGCACCATCCCATGCATCTCCTCACCAGCCGCCGAGGGCACTCTCCAATCCCAGTCACCCAGAGCTGGGCTCTAGGGAGAGCGTATTAGGGTCAGGTCAGGAGTCGACCCCTGCACTAGCCAGCTCAGAACACAGTTAGATGGGCCATGTCCTTCAGGTCTGCTGCCCAGACTAATCCCAGCTGACCTCGGGAAGTCAGCACAGGAGCTAAGACACTGCCCTGCCCACTGCCACACGTGCTGATGCCAGCCCCTGCGGGCTCCCACCACGCAGGGTCTTATCAAGTCCTTTCAGCGGCCTGAATGCACAGAGTTATCTGTTTGCCCAGCTGCCCATTCATCGCAACTTGGCAGGACAAAAGGAAGAGCCACACAGGATGAGTTCTACAGGGAGCCCTGGAGTGAGCTATGCACTGTCCCCAGGCCACCCGATGCAAAGCACAAGCTCGCACAGAGCCAGGAATCCCCAGCATCCCATGGTGCACGTCTTTCACTGGCTTCACTGCGTAATCATGATCACAGCCTCACTGAACAAGTGAAGATGCGCCTCCAGGGGTTAGCTGACAGCGTGCACATCTTCTCAGGCGCTGTCCAGAGACTGGGGATTCAAGGCTGTGGAATCCCAGGGGCTGTCTTTCAGGAGAGGACCCCTGCTGGAGGGCACCGTGGGTAGGGCTTTGCTAGCTGCAGAGCAGGAGCAAGAGCCTGGAGACAGCCTCAGGTGGGACCAAGCTACTCGCTGTCCTATCAGGCTGCCCAGAGCCAAGATGGATTTGACCACACAGCAATATCTCTCACCAACTGCCTTCAGGAACAATTGCCTCCTTTGCTCTGAGAGGAGGAGCCCCGGGGCTAAGCGGTTACTTACTCACCGTTTGAAACTGCCAACTACTCAGAGAAAGATGGGGCTTTCTACTCCCGTAAAGTTACAGTCTTGGAAACCCATAGGGACAGTTCAACCCCATCCTATAGGGTCGTGATTTAGCATCAACTGAATGCCAGTGATTTGGGGTTTCGGCTGTGAATGGAAGAACTGGGTAGCACCCCACTACCGTTACTGAATCTGTTGATGGAAGGTTCCCTAGAAGACTCCTGATTGGGGTAGGGCAGAGTAGAAAAGAATTTCAAATCCCCATAGAATCCAGATTCATGGAAGCTGGATGAATCCCCTCTAAACCACTGTCCTGAGGTCACTCTGGCCAACACACATTTTGGTGCCTCAAATATTCGACTGGTTTCTGCGGATTCCAAAAATGGCACCAGGGTCCTCTCGGCTCTAGTTTTCACAAGAAAACACACGTCACATGCCACCCCCTCAGCTGGCCCATGTCCCTGTGGGGTGAGCCCGCTCGGCATGAGGAAGAGTACCTGCCTTACGGAAAGCAGCTTCGGCTGTACTCACTGTTCACATGAAGTTATACTTCACACGGTGTCCTTTGATCCAAGGAGAAGATTTGAACAGTGCAAATTACATGATGAACTTGGAATTTTCTCCAAGTATTTCACCCTTAGTACCTAATTCTTTTTCAAATAATTTTTACCTTTTTGTCTTATCCTATATTTGTGGTGTGAATTCTTCTCGTATTTAAAAATCTGATGATAAATTAATATAACTCAATAGCTGAAAATATAGCTCAATAGCTGCATGATTAATTTACCTGATGATAAATTCAAGTAACTCAATAGCTGCATGGAATACCATGCAGGGGCAGTGAACTATTGAACGTGGCTCTTCTAGCCAGTCTCTAAGTCCCAGCAAACAGCCTTTCCCTGCCCGGGTCTGGAAAGAATGTCCGGGAA